TGGTTATACTGTGCCCATACCACTCAATTTACCTAACACGACGTGGCGGAACTCTTGCCTCAATTTTCAGCTGGAAGGTGGCGGTCTAGTAGTACATAGAAGTCTGTGGCCGCCGCCGTCGCCGCTGCGATGCGTGCGCGCCCCGTGATTTACGGAGGAACGTGACGACGACAATGCCGCCGTGCCTGGCGACGATGAAATAAACGCTTGCACGAGCGCACGAGACGGTAACCTAAACGCCGAGCGGCGGGGAGCTATGCGCAGCGTAATTGTGATGTGTCCGTGCAATATTGTCAACGGTCAGATACTCGCTCTACTCTGCAGATGTTTCTCGGTGAGTTGTTCCGCGCTTCCTCCCTCCCGCCCCCCTCTTCTCTGCCCCACCCCTTCGCTCGACCGCGTGCCGTCGCTCGCGGAGCGGCCGCGAGAGCCGCACGGACGGACAGTGGATACGCGTTTCGCGCGATTGTTCGATGGAATGTCGCCGCGCGATCGCGACACGCCTGTGCCCGCGGACGATCGATATTGCCCGCGAACGTGGTCGCGCCAGCGGGATCCCCTTTCTTTCTCTATTCTCTCGTTCCTCGCGGCTGTACTTATCTGCTGCCCCTCTCGAGTCCCGGTATCGCGATCCCGCGCGCGTCGGGCGAATTGGCGCAGCCCGATAAGAGCCTCGCGCCCCGTCTCTGGTCGCCCACACACGAACACGCCTTTCCGTTTCGCGCGGCAGAACGGGCCACGTTCGTTCCTTTCTGCACCTACCGCGCCTTCTGCACCCCAGGCTCTCCCGTTTCTACGCCCGCGGACATATACACCGCGTTCCGTTAGGTATGCCTCGGCTGCACTCGTTGCACTCCTCCCGCGTTCAAAATAAAATTTCAAATCGGTTAGCCCGTTTCGATTCGTGCTCCCTACGCCTCTTCCCCTCTCCTCCTCCTCCTACTCCTCCTCCTCCTCGCGGCTCGATCGCACGCTCGTTTCGTTCCAAGTGCCAGGGGCGATCGGGGACGCGACTAGAATTTACCGAGATAAAGTACGACCGACGTGGCGGGCGACGTGACTTGCTTTCCGTTAATTCAACTATGCACTAGGTATACTAAGTAAAATGATAAATGTACGAGTACCGGGTCGATTGTTCCGCGAGAAAAGTATTTGCAGAAAAAAAATATACACAAGACCGTAATCTAAAGAGCCACGTTATTAACGCGCGAGTTTATGAAAATGAAGCCTTCGTTCTTCTCATTCTCCGTTCCCGGCTACCTCTTCCGGTATCTCGTACCAGCGAAAGAGAGCGGCGGAAAATGCGAAGGACGCAAACGGGACGGTCTAATTTGAATGCAGAAAGTGCAGCTAAAAGGAGCAAACGTGGATTGCACCCTGTGCGGCGGCGGCGGTGGCGGCGATGTTCGCGCACGCTGATAGGTTAGGGGAAGTGTTGGCCGCTGCCTCGTCTCTGTTTATCCGTGTTACCGAGGTCGCGTCCCGCCCGCAGGTCGTCCCCAGCGTACGCCCGGCCGCGATGAGAGATTCGTAGCGGAGGTTAGACGCCGAGGTAACCGTCGTCCCGTTCGCACGCGCGATCGGGCGCGCGACAAGCGCGAACGAGGCGTGGGATTTAAACGTGGGCTTTAAACGGTCTCTCCACGTCGATTTCCGCCGAGCCCGACGCGATTACGCGACCGAGCCTCGCGCATATTTTTTTCTTCCGCCCTCCGCGACCGGTCGGTTACCGTTGGTCTCGCGCGTCTCCCCTCCCCTCGTGCGGGATCTGGAGAATATATGTGCACTTGGTATCGAGCCGGAGAGGCCTTTTGTTGCACGCGCCTCGCTAAATATATCCCATTGTTATGATTTCGATAATGATAGGACGTCCCGAGGTCCGCGCCGACGGAACGCCGGCGGCGTTGTCGCGATAACTTCGACGGATTGAGGTCTCAGCGAACTTGTGCTAATACACGCCGTGCATTTTTTTGTCAAGTACAGGTGCCGGGTGCCTAGAACACAGCTGGCAAAATGGGCAAGTTGTTGTCAAAGATCTTTGGCAACAAGGAGATGCGTATTCTCATGTTAGGACTGGATGCGGCGGGAAAAACTAGTATCCTTTGCGACGCTGCAAGCACAACTCGTATTCTCATAAGCGTGTATATATATATATATATATGTATATATGTACATATATATACATGTTGATAGTCGTTATCCTGGCATTTTGTTTCAATTGATTTGTTTATATTGTTCGACACACTGTGTAATTGGTCGTGCAGTTATAATTAACTTTACGACTGTCGGAGAGCCACTTCTGTGGCTCTGAACAAATCTCGAAATTCTGCGTAACGTGCAGTGCGTTATTTGTATAAAGGTCCGTATTCTGGACCCTCTTCTATCGATGAAAGAGGATTCATAATGTGGGCGAAAGAATTTTGGGAAAGAAGAACGCTATTTTAATGGGGAAAGTGCCGACATGAAGGTTAAAGTAGGTGTACGCGATGCGTTATGAGTACAGTGCGTGCGGGATATATTTAAAAACTCGTTCTCTTTCTATGAATTTGTTTCCTTAATCAAATTACACCAGCAATATTGTATAAACTTAAACTAGGACAGTCTGTGACAACTATACCAACTGTAGGATTCAATGTAGAAACAGTTACCTATAAGAATGTTAAATTTAATGTGTGGGTGAGTATCGATAATGCCTCTTTCACGAGACTCCGTAAAGATTCTCTGCAAGAGAACGTCACCCTTAATCCCGTTTGCGCTTAATCAAATGAGGTGTTTCTGTTTTTTGTCTTTTTAGGATGTAGGTGGTCAAGATAAAATACGTCCGTTATGGCGTCATTATTATACAGGGACGCAAGGACTTATTTTTGTAGTAGACTGTGCAGATCGAGATAGAATCGACGAAGCCCGCCAAGAACTTCATCGAATCATAAACGATAGGGAAATGCGTGATGCGATAATTTTAATCTTTGCTAATAAACAAGATCTTCCGGATGGTAAGTGATATTTGTGGTTTTACTTGTTACGTGATGTGAATTAATAGTTTCCTTTTTTTTTGGTAGTGTAGTACGACGCACTGTATATGTGTGCTACAGATATCTTTATATGACTTAGCACAATATACGAATTTTCGCCTGTACCGTTTTTATTTTTTTATATTTTTTTCCTTTAGCAATGAAACCGCACGAAATACAAGAGAAACTGGGATTAACTAGGATACGAGATAGAAATTGGTACGTTCAGCCATCTTGTGCCACAACGGGAGACGGGCTTTACGAAGGCCTTACGTGGTTAACCAGTAATCATAAATTATGAGCAAATATTTATTTTTCACAAATTAGCTATATATACAGAGAATACACGTTTGCTTTGTATTTTTTATTTTTAATTTATCATATGGAGGCTCCTGTCAAGACGAACAACTGACAATGATACATTTGACGACATCTTTTTTACATGTAAAGTTATCACAGATACAACAGGGAAAAAAAGAAACAACTATTAATGGTGTGTTCCAATAATATCGATACTAGGTGAATAGTAATTTATTGTAAACGAGGTACCAAGGGGCGTGACCTTTGTTATACTAGCTATTTATCCCATTTCATGGAAATAATTAATGAATAGAGTTACGCTAGCGGGTTTAATATCGCTCTGTACATGTAACATATTCACACAAGTGTACTGTTTCATGAGACACATAAGTTGTACAAGTTTAAAAAGAAACAAAAACTTTACGAGAATCTAGTTATGATATTACGAGGTTCACGGATTCACAAGGATTAGTATACTGTATAACTTACCTTTGCAGGATCATATCTTATATCTATGTAACTGTTATTTGAGCGCAGTTGCGTTTCTCGAGTGGAAAGTACCTCAAGTTTTTAACGAAACGCAGCTAGATTTTTAACTTCGCAATATCTTGTTGTCAAAATGCTATCTCTAATGTATATTATATAATATTCATACGTATAGCCCGTGAATAAATTTACCGTACCTACATTGAGGCTTTATATAGTACAGCGAGACTATTCCGTTAGTAAACATTTCTTGCTATTTAGAGTTCTGTGTCGAAAAAATTGCTTATAATTTGATTTCTTTTTGTTTGATAATGTCTTCCAGCTCGTATATGCTTCTTAATTAGCTCCCATCTTTTTCCGTTCATTTCGATCAGGTGATCGAAATGCGATAACATCTAATCACCAAACTTATTATGATTACGCACAAATCGCAGAATATAGGAAACAATGCAATAAGGAGTTATCGGTTTACTGATATTGTGAGCTCAAAAACCAAAAAAAACGAGAAAGAGAGAAGAAAACAATGTTACAGAGAACGTAACAGCATTGAATCTGCCAATATTTTTTACTGTTTAAGTGAGTATTGGATAATAAAGCATATTAGTATTAGGTCGCAACGATCGGATCGTTAAGAACAACATTTTAAACGGATGAGATAAATGTTTTCATGACCGTTTAATTTCTCATAGCATAATCCATAGAGTAAGACTAATAAGAATATACTTTGAGATTCACAATTGATTCGTAGAAGTTTAAAAGTGTTCAAAATGTTTGTGTATGATTATCGAATCAACTTGATTTACGAGTAAATAATAGTGATGATACACCTTGTAATTCGTGAATGCATTGACACCTTGTTTACATTCCATGGTACATTAGCGGATTAGACTGTTAGAGAAACGTCTTTAGTTATACGAATGATCTTCTACGTGGATTATAACAAGAGATTTTCCAGACGTAAGTTTGTACAACTTCCACAGCATCCGTACCATTAATATTAAGTATCTCACTTGAGAGATGGTGTGAACGTTGAGCGCATCGTCTGTATAAAAATCGTAATCAGGCTTTGGAAATACTCAGCTGTTTTCCAGAGAACATTAGATATATTACTTAGCACCTCTCTATTGCCACGTCTTTGTACAATTTCGTGAACGTAATCTCTACATTTTTTGACAATGTTTCAAATAGCGATTCTCATGTATTCTCTCTTTTTCTAATCATAAAAAAAATATATGTAATTGTGTTACGTTTTTATCACATCAGCTTTAGCAGAAGCCATTTTCTCATTATTAAATGTGATGTTATGATGTTAATTAACGAAGTTTTATGTATATAAATATGTTTGATATATATTACAGCTACAGTCGAGAGTCTTATGTGTTCCACACATCCATACTAATGTGCTATAAAAGAAATACAAATACTAATACAAATAATACAAAGAAAAAATACAATGACGATTTATATATACACGAAAAGTTTCTCGAGGACTAATAGAAAATATTATTTCTCACGGCAGTTTTGATAAAAAAAAAAGAAGGATACATAGGCAAGGAAAAAGTCGCTCCAAAAAGACAATATAAGTTCTAGAAAGAAAATAAATTCTAAATTTCTTTTATACGCGATAAAGATATATCTGCTTATTAAATAAATGAACCATTTCACTCCTTAGCATTAAAATACAATAATGAATATTAAAATACAATCAGAAATAATTCAAAGTTATAAATTATTTCGCTTCACTAATATCCAAAGCCTGAACGTAGTAAGAATTTTGTGGCATTAAAACAAAATCTATGATTAGTTTGTAGAAGTAATTACTATAATTTTGTTACTACACGGCCAATTATGTCCAGTAGCAATTTAACAAATTCGTGTCTAGAGTTCAGATATAAAATAATGAAAAGGTCAATGAAAGATTACAAATCTCAGACGTTAAAATACGTAGTCTCCATACTCAGTTCGGCGAACAAATAGTTTTATTATGATATTGCGTTGCACTGTCCTGCAGAATAAGATATTCGTGAATATCTAGAGTACAGATGTGTTATTTGATACAATTTTTAGATAATTTGATATTATCAATGTTACATAGAGATCCTAAAAGTTATTATACCCTGGAGATTTTTACTCGAGATAAAAAGCACAGTAACGTGTCATCCCTTTTATTTATACATACACACGCATATATATCTATCCTTTCGGTTAGAAGGAAGAATATCAAAGTGTGATTTGCCATTTAGAAAATTAACGACATTTGATAAGTACGACATCTTATCAGGGGCCATACAAAAAAATTTAAGGCTCATTAAAGCGCTTCGGAATAATAAGGAATAATATTACACGTGAATCGACGCTGTCAGCTTACATATGGATCGACGCTATTAGCCAGAGAATTCCTAATGCACCACAATTGTGACTAGAATACTCTTCCGAGAATGTCTGCCTTAGAAGAAAGACTTAGCGCAATAAAGGAGAAAATCAATACTCTGTTAATTTACATATTTGCTATTTTTTAATATTGTTTGAATAGTCTATAGTATGTTACATTCTTTATTATATGGCCCTCGAATGTTACATTAGAAAACTATTTA